ACTACAATGCCGGCTGTTCTGACTCACAGACTGAAAGTACGTTTTTTATATTTAAAGAATTTGCCACTGACGATTCAAACGCGAGTTTTGAGCAGTGTAGAGTAGGGCTTGTTGTTTGTCATTTCTCCGATCACAAATGCAGACATGGTTTTATGTTTACGCGGCGCGATGCAATGCAACGCGTAAAAAGACAGTATAAGTCATTATAATCCGTAATTATGTCCCCACTGGATGCAACGAATGCCTCGTTTATAATGGGTTTTAATGTTTTTGTCTCATCGCGCCGGGACACGGCATCAACAGTATGGTAGGGGCGTAACATTTCCGTCACACGCTTGAGGTATTCGGCCAATCACAACGCACTGGATAGCTGGCCAATCAGAGCACACCTTGCTTTTCAGACCGATGAGCTTTGTAAAAATCGACGCGTTTCAGAAAGGCAGGGCATAGAGGAGCAACAAAAATGTACATTTTGTGGAAAATAATGTGTTTTTTTTACCTTAAACCACATAAACACATTTCATTACACCAAATACACAAAATAATGTTCTTTTTAGCAACGTCATATGACCCCTTTAAATACAGCAAACTCTTTAGTTGATGGAGTTGTGTTGTTAAATTAATATTTTGTACAATGTTGGCTGAAATCCTCCAACCCCTGCATGTTAACTCTCCTTGGTTCTGCACATCGTATAGGCAACATGGCATATTTTGGGTTAAAACAGCAAAATTCACTAAAAGGTGACTTTGAACCAAAAATAATATCAAATGTAAAATATAAATTTTTTTCAGTTCAATTCAATTCAAGTTTATTTGTATAGCGCTTTTCACGATGCAAATCGCTGCAAAGCAGCTTTACAGAAAATGTAAGTTTCTACATTATATTTAGTAATAGCTTATCTCAAATTATGTCCATATGGCAGAAATGTACGGTAAAAATCAAGCAGTTAATGTCTTTTTTGTTGAATTCAAAATCCATTTCTGACCCCTGTGGTTATAAGAACTAGATCCATGTTGGTGTCCATAACAGTTTTTTTCCATTGGAGTGTCACATCTGTAATATTAGAAATATTTTTGGAATATTTTTGATATCACGATAACATCAAAGTCTTCTTTTACATTTCATTTCAATGCTAAAGTAATATACATTAATCATGTAGCACTTTGGTATATATTCATGTATTATCTGGCACTGCACTATGATGGCGTCAGCATCCTTGGCAATAACTTTCTACCTACTTTCTACCTTCTTAGTAATGCACTTAAAGTGGATGGCTAGTTTATTGAACAAAGGCGTTATACTGGAATAAATGGCACTGCTTTATACAGCCACTTACTAACACTCTTACAAACTAAATTACAAACTAGTGATGTCCGGTTCGCGAACGAATCGTTCGATTTAACCGGTTCTTCTTAGTGAACCGGTTGAACCAGTTCACCAAATCTGACTGAATCATTTGAAACGGTTCGCGTCTCCAGTAAGCATTAATCCACAAATTACTTAAGTTATTCACTTTTTTAACATGGCTGACACTCCCTCTGAGTCGAAATAAACCAATATCCCGGAGTAATTTATTTACTCAAACAGTACACTGACTGAACTGCTGTGAAGAGAGAACTGAAGATGAACACGAGCAGAGCAGCCGGATAACAAACGTACACGCCCACTGCTGGAGCGGTTCTCGTTCTCGAGTCAAGAACCGGTTGCATCGGTTTTCGGATCACCAGTACACTGAACCGAGAACCGTTTCTTTCGGACACGTCCAATTTGAGAACCGATGAGCTGATGATACTGCGCATGCGCGATTCAGCGTGAAGCTACCGAACAGATACTATGACTGACACAGCACGTCTGAACCGAACTGGTTCTTTTGGACAACTGATTCTGTGCTAATGTTATGAGCGCGGGTAAACCGAAGACTTGAATGAAGGGCAATCCGGCGAAACGTAAATTTACTTAATTACAAATAAACCGTAATGGATTATACATAGTAAGTGGAGCATAGTTTCTGCGCTGATGAAGACTAATTTATTGACGTCATAACTGTAAAACATCCTAGTTTGCAGATCACTGCCTGTATATGTGTTGATGCTTTAGATACAAAAATCCGTCCGAAAGAAGCGGTTCGCGGAAAAGAACCGAACTTCCCATCACTATTACAAACACAAAGTCCAATATAACTAGCGGTTTACAGCCGATAAAGGTCATTTGTGCAATATCGGACAGCTGCCGATTATTTAAAAACAGCCAATGATCAGAGCTCATTATTACCTGTCAATCAAAAGGGGGCGGGCAAACTCGTGATAGGCTTGTGGACTAAAATAGACGGTTCTGATTTGTCATGCATGTGATTGGTTACAATGAATGAGCACTGTGCATTCAGACAGGTCTGCAGGCCTGATGCTAATGTGCAGAGATGGATGGCTCTTTTGGGTAGGTCACTGCTGAACAATAATATTGATGTCCAGAGCATCAGTCAGAGAAAGAGAAAACCACACCTCAGCTCTCCGCAGAGCACAGCACACACAAGAGAAACGCTCTTCAGTAACACATTTAAATATGACAATCTCTTGCGCGATTATTGCACACGTCTTTTCAAAATCACAATATTAAAGAGCAAATAATAGGCTGTGCGAAATAGTGCGTGCAGTGCTCGTGCGACCGGACTGCGCAGTCTAACAGCATCAGCACCACGAGGATCTCCGAGACAAAGAGCATCACTGTAAAAACCGCAACACTGCTCTGCGAATGATCACAAAAACCTCTCGAAGACCCATGCACACGCACTCTGGCTTTACAAATATCCCTTTAAAATCAGCCTGAAGTCATTGTGTGCTTCTGGATGCATGTAGTGTGTAGCAGGCTCAGTTATGGGCGTGATTTTCTTGCTGCAGTACACCGGCTCAGACCCAGCACAACATTTCCTTTCTTTCTACAATATTCGGAAAAGACTGTAAGAATCAGTATAATGATAAAAAACACAAGCATTATTATTTAGGCATTTTATTGCACTTGGAATAGCCTATGCTTCCTTCCAAAAAGCACATCTGAATCAGTCTCAATTCCTCACTATCAGTTCAACCCAACATTCTCTGACACGCCTGCAGCCTGACTTTTACTCCTGCTACAGCTTTTGTTACAAACGTACAGATCAAACCCACTCTGAAAGAAAATATGCATTCAAATATGAATATAAATGCATGAACTTACAGTGATCTTTGGGATATTCTTTTTGCCCTGGTAAGACATGGTTTGATCTCGGTTGATGCAGATGTCTTTATTCTGTTCTTTTGCTGATGTTAGTGGTTGCGCACACTGACTGGACTTGATTGTCTGCTTTGCTGGGCTCCTCCCTCAATGTCCAGCCGGGTGTCATGTGTGAGTTTAGCCACCAGCCGGCGCCAACACCAGGGTTGGAAAGCCCGACTCATTTATGCGAATCGGTTCTTTTGAACAGCTCTTGATACTGAATCGGTTCAAACGTTGATTCATATTTACGACATGAGTGTTTTAATAAATGTTCATTGTATTTTAAAGTAATCTGAATGTATTTGGACCATCTCTTACACTGATACAGTGAAAGCTAATAATAAAAGCTCATTCTCATGGCTACTGCAAATTAATAACAGACTGAGAAGGATAGGCTAAGTAGAATGAGATTAATTTTGTAATAATCGCATTCTTTTTACCCATAACAGTAAAAGGCTAATAATTGTAATGATTTATGCTACTTTCTTCACCCGGATACTAACAAACTCTGCCTTTATTACTTTGAGAACGATGTATGAACCGGGTTCATTTCAAAGAACCGACTCCAAAGAATCATTTGTTAATGAATCGGAACTGCTGGTGTCAAGCAGAGATATAAATATTTAAATTGTGAAATATGTTTGTATTTTCACTTACCCGTGGAAACAGAGGCACTTAATGTCAAATGTTTCCTGACAATTTGGATAAATGAACAAAATAAATCTGATTTGCCAACCCCTGTGAAAAAGAAGTATGCTTTTTAAAATAAGTAGGCCTATTTATTATGTAGCTAAATAATAATACACTTTAAAAGAATATGGAAGTGTGAATTGAATGTAATGTTTTCAGACACTTAACTGAATGCCGGAATTAAATGAAAATGTATTATAGTTCACATTTATGCAATAAATGCAGTATATATAACTATATATGTAATTTCATGATTTCAATACGTTTCAAGTGAAATATGGACAAAGTTTAATGTTGAATGTAGGCTACTATGGCAAACTAAAATTTACTTTAATGTAGGCTAATTTCTAGCATGTATTTAAATAGATTTCTAATAAAATATTTGTAACAATGAAGCTGCAGTTTAGTACATTTAAAATATTACTAGACGTAATACTGAATAACACAGTTAAAAATAAAAATGAAATACTTTACATGTGCTTTAATATGGTATTTAACTCACCAAGTGTACAGCTTTCAAAACACGACAAAATATTGTGAAAACATAATCATTTATAATAAAATCATTCATATTATATGATCTGCATGTACAGTTTTTTAATATACTTTTAAGGTTTGACGTACACTACAAGTGCATGTTCAATACAATTAAATGCACTTCTTTCTCACAAAAGAGTTTTTAAAATAAGTCTCCCACAATCCTATAAAGTCTGTACAAAGCTTGTTAGCTGCTTCACTGTCTTTAAGACTGAATGTTGTTCCACTGTCTGGAATGTGTTCACAGAGCAGATGCAGAGAGAGAATGCTGTCTAGTTTATCTGTTGAGAAAGTGTATGTTTATCAGCGGGCAAAGACTTTCGTAATCAAGGCCTAGACAGGGAGCGTCACAGTGATGAACAAAAGAGGAGTGTGGTCCGGAGAACAGCTGCTGAGCTGCACCCTGCCATGTGTCTCTTTGTCTGAGCAGAGCCCACCCCCCTCTACACACACACACATATATAGACGTACACACACTCACATACACACATATATAAACACACACACACACGCACAGACATATATAAACGTACACACACTCACATACACACATATATAAACACACACACGCACACAGACACACACACAGACACACGCACACGCACACACACACACACACTCACACACACACAGACATATAAACGTACACACTCACATACACACATATATAAACACACACACACACACATATATAAACGTATACACACTCACATAGACACATATATAAACACACACACGCACACTTTGAAATCACAATAAATTACATTTTAAAATATATTCAAATAGAAAATAGTTATTTTAAATAGCCTAGTAAAAATATTTCAAAATTTTACTGTTTTGCTGTACTTTGGATCAAATAAATGCAGGCTTGGTGAACAGAAGAGACTTCTTTAAAAAACATTAAAAATCTTACTGTTCAAAAACCTTTGACTGGTAGTGTATAGGCAACTTTAATTTTTCTCTAATTTTTAGCTTTCAATTGGCTTAGAAATCGTATAACTGCTGGACAATAACCAATAATAATGATTTGTTTATATACTACAAACACTTTTTTATCACATAAGGCAGAATAGTTTATATACTGTAATAACTGCTATGTCAATTAGCACTGCATTGTTCATAAACTTTATTTATTACCTGGAGATGACTTGACAAACACAAATACACCATATATTGTGGCAATCGTATGTTTAATGTCTTCATGTTTCCAAACATTTCTGTTTTCTGTGAAAACAACTGTTTTCATACAGCGATAGCTGGACGCTTTTGTCCATATTAGGGATTTCCTCGTACGACTTTCTGCGTGAGAGCGCCCTCCGGTTTCGAGTATGAATGAAACACGGAGTGTTTAGCGCTCCGCGATGTTCATCTCGCCTTATTCTGGGTCCGAATAAAACATCTAAAACATCACAGACTATCCTGTCTGTTTGAATTTAAATATATATTTATTCACACAGGCTCTTGAAAACCTCTATGCGAACACACTTGCCCGAAAAAGTGCGGGGGACGAATTTATGTGATATTAAAAGTGGGTGGGACACGTCCCCCGCGTAATCTACGCCCCTGCACACACATATATAAATGTACACACTCACATACACACATATATAAACACACACACTCACACACAAACACACACACACACATGCACGCACACACACACACACACACACAAAGTATTTCACAATATAAGTGAGGACATTTGGTCCTCACAAGTATAGTATAGTATAGTATAGTATAGTCAACATTTCTACTACATTTGTCTCATTCCAGATCAGCTATACTGTACATGTCTTCTCACATCAGACAAAATGTATTATGTGGATCAGAAGCCTAATTTATGTCCACACTATATTAAGCATAATTACTCCCTTCTGATAAAGCAATATGTTATGGTTTTTAATAATTGCTTAGACACTAAAGTGGTACTTGAGGCCCACTTCTTGAAACAATTCACTCATATACCTAATCTTTAGACCAAGTCTGCAAAACTACAAGCACATTACATGCTTGAAACTTAGTTTGATATTGTAAAACAAACTTTTTTGCAAAACTCAGTTCTAAAAACTAAACACAGTTCTCTACAATACACACATCCTTTGAAACTAACAGATCTTGTGTTTCATTTGGGAAACACTGCCATTTCAATGCCACACTCATTTGCTGATGACCTACAGCCAGTGATCATGTGTGAAAACACTTACACATCATTTTGTTCACTTAGAAATCAAAACTTTTGAGAAAGAAATAATTTTTACCCCCTTGGATTTCTGAAGAGAAATTAGTGTTTACAGTGTGTGTGTGTGCGTGTGTGTGTGTGTGTGTGTGTGTGTGTGTGAGTGTGTGTGTGTGTGTGTGTG